CTCAGCTCTGGAATGAGGCAGAAATCCTGACGGGTTAGGAGTAGGGGATCACAGTTTGTGTGTAGCATCTCATCCTGTCTCTTCATTAAAGAAGTACTGACCGTGCTGGGAGGACAATGGTAGCAGTCATGGTGGCAGAGACCTTGGTGGCACAGGTTAACATAGAATGGAGCAGTAGTAGTGAGTACTGGGCTAGTGCTGCTTGTTTGCCCATCTCAGTATCGTGACCACTAGAGTTACAACAGAATTGTCATATTAGGATTTTGGTTGTGGCTGCTGATATTATTCTGATGTTTTGTGAATACTGCTGCTTAAGCTAGGGACAAGGTAGCTTTGAAATCACTTGGACCACCACGCCAGTCTCACTTAGATCTTTGTAAAATATAAATGTTAACTTTGCTGATTGGTTTTTTTCCCTTTAACTCCTCTTCCTAGGAAATATGCCTAAATCTGAAGGCTGGGTTGGAGAAGTATCATGACTCTCTCATTAGGACGGCAAGGAATTATGATGCCTCAAGAGAAGATAAAATTGCTAAACTGAAGAAGGGGCTGCTTAGAGTTTAAGCTCCTTCAAGTAGTTCTTAGACCCATCTTCACTTGTATTGCACTTTCATTATGTTTATCCTTGTATTTGAACTCAAGAGCTTGTTCTGTGTATGGGACAGACAGTTATTCCAGGCGAAAGCCAGCTTTCTCAAAAACCATGTCAGAACACACTTAGCTTACTAGACAGATTCTGAAGTCGTGAGCTTGCTAATGTGGGTGGGATAAGAAAACACTTTGTGTAAACTGTTTGTATTGTTTCAGTCAGTATCTGATTTTAGTGGTAATAATGGAAGTCTTGCTAATACCAAATTGTTTCCCGTTTAGACAGAATTCTGCTTTTTGTAGAAACTGGTCTGCAAACTTTGACCTGGGAAGACCTGGTGCTTTGGTCTCGCCTGAACGGACACATTGTTCGAGATAAACTGGTAATAGGTGATGTTCTATTACCATTATTCAATTAAGATTAAATCCGGATGGAGCAGTAGCTTCCATGTAAATGCCTGCTTACAGTCACCAATATTAGTGGTAAGAGTAAACGCTTTAAGGAGTATCACTTTAGTTAACAGAACGATCCCTCTAGGTGCTTGAACTCATTGCTTCTGCTCTGTGAGGTACTGAACCCTCATCTGTGTCCATTAGAAAGACTGTGTTTGGGTGCTTAGTCCTTGTAAAAAAAAATTACACAGCTAAATATTTTGTACCTTAGCTTGTGACAGCATCCAGTTTGCCACAGTGGTTTTAATTCTTTCCAGAAATAAAATGTTAGTTTTAAAAAAGAGTTGATATGAGGATACCTGCCTCTAGGTCAGAGTGGCCTGTTTGTTTGTATGTAAAAGATCTATAAATCAATCATAACCAAACTGATATTTTTATCTAGAGATAATTGATTCCTAGGTGTGAGGCTACCACTGCTTTTCAAGAGCTTCAACTCATCCTGCACCGTATGGCAAGGCAGTGGGGAGAACTTTAGTGTGACCTGAATGGCAGTGAAGGGAAGATAGCTTTGCGAAGGCGATACAGCTCCATTTCCCTCACGAGGGCAGTGTTCTTCAAAATTTCTATGTTTGGTGGTTTGTTTTGGTGTGTTGTTTTGTTTTTTTTTACCTCAGTCTAAATGCCTAGAGCCCTCTGCCGAGGCCTGAATCAAATAAAATTGCAGGAGTCTTTTATTTTGAGACACTGGTGTGAAATAAGTGAATTACAGATGGACAGCTATCATGAAGCTGATAAAAGAGAATAGCCTGGCTAGACTTAGAGGAACGAGACCTTCACAGCCTTCCCTGGGGTCTACCTGCGAGAATCAACTGCATGTCTGGCTGCTGTATAGCTTGGCATAACGCTGTTTAAATGTGTGCTTTGTTTTGTTTCCATGTGCACTTCAGTATTTCGTATACTACATAAAGCTCGTAGCAAACTTGTCTTGTACTGCTTGGCCTGCAGTTGGGTTAGTGACCTTTGAGAAACCAGGGCAGGATGTAGCCCTGATCTGAACGTGCTCACCTGTGTGGGAGACTTGGTCTACTCCATCTCTGTATAAATATCCTGTAAACTTCGTTCTAGACCTCTACTTTTATGTTTGAGTAACCGGGTAATGTTGGTGCCAATTCAGATTAACACAGAGCAGAGCCCAGGCACTTGCTTTTTGTGCTGATTTGGCGTGGTCTGGGTCTTAACAGAGCTTTTCTTTAGGGGACCTGCATATGTCAGGCACTGGCTCAGATCACCCAGAAGATCAGTGTGAATACAAGTTACCTCCCCAAAACACTTTTTTTTTAAATTTTAAGCTAAAACTGTTCAGCTCTAAGGAAGGAGGTTTGGGAACAAGCTGATGGACAATCCATCTTAAACTTTCTGCTCCTACAAAGTGATCTTTTGAGTGGTAAGTGAGTAGAGTACAGGAGAAGGCACAGAGCTTACAAGCAGGTTGTATGCAGCTTGGAGCGTGCTGTACTCTACTGAGATGGACATCTCCTGTTACAAGATCAGATATGTGAACATCCAGACTGTACGTATGGACAGCACAGCATCAACGTCCTGTTATCTGTGAGTATTCTTCCTCTGCACAGGCTTCACATGCCATCAACTTAAAAAGGAAGGTGAGTGCCTCCTGCCCATGAGTACAGGGCTCTGTTTCCTTCTTTTAATTTTATTTTTTTAAAGAATTTAAACTAACTTTGATCTGTTTACAAGTAGAAAAAGTAGTAATGGGTAAGATGGGCAGCTTAGATTATGGCTTGGCACAATATGTGAACATAAACAAAACTTTTGAGGAGGCTGTGTGATACCCCTTCCCCTGCTGTACCTCTCGCTGCTGCCTGCCTTGTGAAGGAAGGAAGCCTCTTTCATTTCCCTGTTTTTCTTTACTCCACAGCCTTGCTGGAAAGAGTCTTCAGGACTCTGGCTCAGTGCAAAGTGAGTAGGGCTGGGTTAAGTGAGCGAGCTTTGTATTTTTCGGCAGTTCTTCGTGGGACGTTTCTGCTTTGGTTGTAGGATGGGCTGGAAGAGGAGATGTAGGGGTGCGCGGCCGCTTGGTGGGGCTGTTGGAACGGATCA